TTTAAACTAAAGCATGACGGCTGTCAGTGGGATGTAGCTGACTCTGGAGTTCCTTCCTGCAGGCCTGTCGTATTAGTACATTCTCATCCTGCTAGAAAGAACTACTGAAGACTGGGTAATTTATAAAGAAAAGAGGTTTAATTGGCCCACAGTTCTGCAGGCTGGACAGGTAGCATGACCGGGAGGCCTCAGGAAAATTTCAATCATGGCAGAAGGTGAAGGGGAAGCAGGCACATCCTACATGGCAGGAGCAGGAGGAAGAGAGCAAAAAGAGAAGTGCTATACACTTTTAAACAACCAGGTCTAGTGAGAACTCACTCGCTAGCACGAGAACAGCAAGGAGGAAACCTGCCCCCGTGATCCAGTTAATCCCAGTAGGCCTCTCCTCCAACACTGGGGATTACAATTCCACATGAGATTTGGGCAAGGACACAAAGCCAAACCGTATCACCTGTCAACATTTCCATCTCCTTGACCAAGTGGGAGTGAGAGACTCCTGACCCCTCTCCTGGCATAAGGATAACACAACCCAGGGCTTCAGAATTGTGAGCTCCATGTGCTAGCTTGTTGCAGCAGGTCTTGCAGAAGTTGAGTGATGGGGACAGAGACGCAGTGAAGGCTCTACTAGGAGAGCTGCACGATGCATTAACAGTGTCCACTACAGTACAGGAGGCTTTCAGGAGAGATATAAGGAGGAGTTAGTTTCCTGAGCGGGAAGGTTGTAGATCACAAGAGCAGATGAGCAATGAAGACAAAACTAAACTCGAATCACAAGGACTCGGATATAAATCCACCCTGAGGCAGGGGATTGGACCCATTGACCTGCCAGAACCCTTATGTATATAAGTTAGCCTCAGAGAGTTTCAAATCTGATAGGACTTTGTGAGTACCATGTACCAAAGATAAAGGAGCTGATCCAAGAGAACGTTGGCCAAGCCCACTTCCCAGTTGAGAAAAACATGGCTTAAAAACAGCCTGCACAGCTTCCTGGTCGTCCCATCACTCTTGCCGAATAGCATTTTGGTGAGCTGGGGATCAATGAATGAGAAACAGATGGATTTAATTTCCCTTGAAATTAGGGATGGGTGAGCCCAGCCACAGTGTGGAGTTGCTGAATGTCTCAAACTATTTTTTTCAAGTGCTTTTGGTTCCGCAAAACCAAAACCATGGTTTCACAAAGCACGTTTCCCCTCATTCATAGGAGGGTTCATGTATTTTAAGGGGAAGTTGATCTGCATATTTCAACTTCTTTACACTTCACTTATCAAAATGCTAAATACAATTTCCAGGAAGTCTGAAAAATATTTTATAACTTTTTTTCCAAACTCTTTTATTTAGGAAAGGAAACAGTGGGGAAGGTTGGAAAATCTTATGAAAGAAAAGGTGGGTTCAGGTGGAAGTTCACACTTTTAGGGAGTTCTATGTCCCAGAATTATACACATGTTAGGTGTGCAGTCATAATATTCTCAATGAATATATTTGAAAATCTCTTGAAAAGTGAGGGGAAGGGTGGGAAAGTTCAATAAGGACAAGTTCGAGGAAAGGCTGAAAAATACAACACAATTTAAAATAGCTTCTGATCTCTAATAGGCAGTGTATTCCTAGTAGCCATAAAACCAATGATGCAGAACTATAGCATCCTTGTGTCATCCACCAGCATGAACTCCACCATTCTTCAGGTGTCTTTTCTCTTTATAAGACATGTGATAAAGGTGCTTATAGGATGCTTATGAGTGGAGGGATGGCCAGAGGAGAGGGTGGAAGAAATGCACCACAGAGGGTGGGTGGGAGCAGGTGGTGGAGCAAGTGCCCAGTGCCATCTTTGTTTTAGAGAATGACTCAGACCACAGACTTATGTGTGAGCTCTGAAGAGCTATTTCTACTTAAAGCTTAGCTTTCAGTTCCAGGGGGCCAAGTAAGACACAAGGGGGAGAGACGCAGTCATCCCACTTCTCAGGGAGCTCAGTCTGTTTGTATTGCGCTGGAAGCACAGTGCTAGCTCATCACGGACAGGCAGACTTCTGCTGATAGTGGCAGAGAGTGCAGCAATGGACACTGCTCAAAAGGAGAGAAGAAGGAAAAGGCAGCCCCTTGTAGTATCTGATTACGTTTGTCTCAAATGCCCAGGAGACATTCCCTGGGGGTTCCCGGAAAAGCAATTTGAGATGGGGATTTTCTACAGGCAGCCATAATAATTATTGATAAAATATAGAGAATAATGTTTATTATGATTAATATACTTCTCGTTTTAATCCCCAGGCTGGTGTAGGAAGCGCAAACATGGATTACATATCTCTTTAAAGCCATGTATTTTCTGGCTTTTAAATTATAAAACTCAAATAGGGTTGTGTGGCAGTGACAATAGGAGTTGTCAAATATTCCTGGGACTCCCCTACATTTCCCAGCAGCCTTCCAGGTAGTTAGGTTGGTGGCAGTAATTGATTTGGGCCAACAGGGCGTGAGCATGGATGATGTGTGTCCTTTTCTGACCAAGACGGTCAATTCTTCCATTCTCCCCCTCCTCCCTCAGTGATCTTGGTCTATAATCTGCCCAGATGTTTTAACTACACTGGACTTCTCACAAAGGAGAACTGAACCTTTATTCTGTTACACCACTGTGATTTGGTGGGGTGGAGTGGGAAGGGTCTTGTTTGTTACAGTAGCTAGTGTTAACCAACCTGATTAACACAACTGTTAACTAGACTGATACAAGTTGTAAACTTACAACCTCTCATTATGATACCCTGATAGTAATAAAGCTGGTGGTTTGGGGTAAGATTCTCAGAAGTTTTTGAGAATATAATAGTGCCTTATATTAGTAATCTACTGGTATATCAAAAACGATCTTAAGAGGTAGTAGTTTAAAACAACAAACATTGATTATCTCAAAGTTTTTGATGGTCAGGAATTTTGGAGTGGCTTGGGTAGGTGGCTCTGACTCAAAGTCTGTCATGAAGTGCCATCAAAATGTTGGCAGGAGCTGCAGTCATCCAAAGGCTTGATTGGGGCTGGAGAATGCATTGTTCATAGGAGCCCTCAATTTATTGCTGGTTTCTGGCTGGAGTTCTCATTTCCTCATCAGATGCTCCTCTTTGTAGAGATTCTCAGGCAAAGGAAGCTAGCATCATTCAGAGAGAGTAATCCAAGAGAGAAAGCAAACAGGAAACCACAGAATCTTTTATTGCCCAGTGTCTCATGTTGCTTCCTCCCCCCACCCATTCATTAACAGTAAGTCACCAAGTCCAGCCACACTCAAGAAGAGGAGAATAGGTTCCACCTTTTCAAGAGGGTTTCAAAGAATTTGTGAACAGATTTTAAACTATATACACCCCATTACCCCAGAGTGGGTTTGTAGGTAGCTAAGGGGCTAGAATGGTGGGTGGCACCTAAGGTGGGGGGTTCAGTGATCCAACATAAATCAGGCTAATAGAGTGTAATGGTGTGACTGCCCCTATCTTACATTATTCCTTAATCTCATCAGCAGACGAAGGGAGCCCAGCCAATTCTGTTCAAGCAACCTCGACTGGGCCCCTGACAAGCATCTGCATATGGAGATGCCAAGGTAATCTGAGATGGGGATTTTCTACAGGGAGCACAGAGAAATTCCTGTTTACTTACCTCTGTGCATAGACATGATGCAGAGGAAATGAATTCCCGTGAAACAGGACATTGTGCCGGAACCAGCCTGGCCCTGGCTTTATAGGGAGGTGGAGTTCCGGCATTGTCCTCTGACGTGGCCCCCTCCTGCCAACCTCCCAGCTTGCCCGGTGCTACATAGTGTGCTAATTGCTGATACAAACCCTGGGAATTTGCAGAGTAGGATAAGATAGATCCTACAAAAAGAGAAGTTCTTCCCTTTGCATAAAACATGTGCAAATGAAGCTGATCTTGATCTTAGCCCATGGCAGGGAATGGCAGTAACACTGGAAATATTGGCTCTGTGAAGGCTGGAATTTTCCATCTTTCCTCCTATATTCATAGTGCTATATAAGTGTGCACTAAATAAAAAGAACCTTGCTGGTATTTTTTAAACTAGTTGAATGTGCTAGCATTTACCATGGCAGAAGGTGTGGTGATAAGAGGGTAACAGGAGTTCTGAGTCTCGTAGGTCTCTGATACCTGAAAATTCACCAGCCCAGCCATACTGATGGCAGCCTTGCACCCTGGGGAAATGGTTGTGTGAGTTCCTATAAAACAATAACATTGGGGTCTAATCCAATTATGATATGACCCACTCTTGGCTGAGCCCAAAGTGGAATCTGCACCATGGGGCAAGGCAAGGACCAGAGATAAAGGCTCAGTTTATGCCACTCCTTCTCAGGCTGATGGCATTTACTTGCATAGCCATAAAAAGCAGCCACTGGGGACTGTGGCAGAGTGTGGTAAAGCTGGCCATGTTGCAGTGGCCTGCCAATCACTGTTAGCAGCAGTGAGAATGGGACATTTCCTTAGACTCCCTGGATTTGGACAGCAACAACAGGCTCTGGGGCCACAGTGGTGGTACAACAGAGCTCCACTGAGCTGCCAGTGTCCAGAATGTGAAGGCCTCTAGGCTAAGGGGAACATAGCTTCTCCTACTAGGAACTGATAAGGAGGAACCACAGCTCAGCCATGGGAAGGGCAGACTTCTTTCTCATCTTGGCATGAGCTTCCCTGGTTGAGACACCAGACCGATGAAGTATGACATACTGGTTTTAGTTAATTTTATTTTAACTTTAAGGGGACTTTTAACTGGACCATCACCCACAGGAAATGTTTCATGTAAAGAATAGCCAAGAAGGCCATAGATTCCATCCCACCAATGACACACAGCAACTGACTCTTCACCCCCATATCCTGCGCTGGATTTTCCATATGGCCAACTCAAGTACACATATTGCTTTACCAAGTGATGTTCTTCTTTGTCTGCAATTACCACCGTGATTACATTTCTCCTCATTAGCCTAGATGGGAGGGTGCAGGGAAAGATGGTTGGATCAGGACATCTAGTTTCCATACTGCAAACTGAATTTGCTTGGTGGCTCTGGTCAAGTCCATTGACCCATCTGTGCCTCCTCTTGTGGCCCTTGTTCAGATATGCAGTGATTCCATGATTAATTTTCAGTGCTGGTCTCAAGCATGTAGCTGCCATTTGGTGCAAAGCATTAGCATATCTTTATAATTGCTAATGAGGGAAAGAAAATTCCAGAAAAGCTCTTTGGAGGAATCTAAGAATAACACTATGAGCTAAGCATTCTGTCCAAACAAATTTCATTAAAAGAAAACCAAATTATTATCCTTTTGCAAAATAATAACAATAATGGCCTTAACTAACATTTGCCAGGTTCTAAATACGTATCTTGCAGTGTCTAAATATTTTACACATTGTTTTTGTTGCCCCTGTTCACCCCATTGGTGAGGGAGGCATTCCACACTAGAATTATGAGGATGACATTACACTCGACGCTTAGCAGATGTGACTGACAGCAGTTACTATTCACAAACACTCTCAGCTTCAGAGAGGTGAACACAGCATGGGATGCCGGCCACACAGGGGTTGCCCTCAGGAGCAGGGTGAACAGGCAGGGGCTGTGGGTGGCAAGCTTTGTAGCAACAAGAGGGTGAAGTGCCCCCGGTTCCTGCAGGAGAATCTGATGGGCTTTGAACAATTCCGAGCCTAGCAGGAAACTGACACCCACTACTCAGGTATAAGTAGGAGCTGTGCCTGGTCCACTTGATAAGGTGGGTTGCTTGACAGGAACCTTATCTGCAAGAGTAGAATGGAGAGAGGCTCTTGTGAGTAGGTCAGTAGAGGCCCTGCTGATTTGACCAGATTTGAAGGCAGCACACTATACCAAGCCTTAATTTCAGCCTTTACATGACACACACATATTGTTTCATCATTGCAACACTCCTATGAAATACCATTACGCCTTTTTACAGATCATGAAATTGAGGCTTAAATGAGGCTAAGCAAATTGCCCAGTGTTTCCTAGCTGGCAAGTGGCTGAGCTGGTATTCAAAGCCAGGTTTGTTAGTCTCAGAGTCTGACACCATAAGCGACTGTGAACAGGTAGATGTAACAACCCATCTTAGACATGAATCAAGAAAAAAGAAGGACAAGGGGGGAACACCCTACCCCAGATAACCAGAGAGCTCAAGTTAAACACACGCAGTCCTTTGTTCTGTCCACCATTTGACCTTCTGAGTCCCATGCTACCTTCTGCAAGGCAACTGGGTTCATAAAGCCATCTCAGTGACCACTAACAGCAGCAGCTCTGCCTCACACTTTAATCAGTGGTCTCTGAAGTGTTTACAAGCCCAACTCCTCGGGACACACTTTTGATTTTACACCCTGGGGGACGAGAAACAGTCCAAGCAGATCAACCAGCTTCCAGGTGCTTCAAATTCCCAAGGCCAGGGATGGCACCAATCAGTCATCCTTTTGCATGTGGATGTTGGGTATATCAAAGAGACTTGACGGTCTAGAATAAATTCTTCTACACTGAAAAGAGGCTTTAGATCTCTTTCAGTCCAAATCCCTCATTATGCGGTTAAAGAAAGTGAAGTGGCCTCCCCAAGGTCACAAAGTTGGTTAGGGCAGAACCTGCTTGCATCCCTTCCCTAAACCCTTTCCCAACTCCCTCCTCCCGTGCACACCTCCCACTCTCAAGTAGAAGAAGGGAGAAACTCTCTTCCTCAGCACCCTTTGCAGTTAGGCTGACCATGTGACCTGTTCCAGGCTTTGTGCCAAGAGGGAATCTGCCAGGGGGAGTCTGGGAGTGGTGTTTCTTCCCGGATAGAAAGAAAGCATGGAGAAAGAGCTCTCTTACCATTCTCTCCAAACTCTACCTTCTATTAGAGCCAGTGGAGGACCTGAGGCTTGAAACCAGAGGTGTCTTTTAGCCATGAGGGAAAGTTCAGAGATGCAGACATAGCAACTCAGCCTCAGGTGTGTGCTAAATCAGTCCCCAAACTGCCCTTCCTGACTCTTCATTTCAGTAACAATTAATCCAAGTTTAAACCACTGTTAGTCATGTTTTCTCTTCTTTGCCGCCAAACACCCTCCTCTGAGCAGCAGTCACTAGAGTCAGGCAGTAGGTGAAGACCCAGCAGTGTCACCCACTAGCGATGAGACCCAGGGCAAGGAACTTTTCTCTGTCTCAGTTTCATTTTTTGGAAATGGGCATATATTTTTACAGAGGTGCTGTAAAGTAGTGCTTCCCAGCCTTTTTGGAACCAGGGACTGGTTTCGTGGAAGACAATTTTCCCACAGACCAGGGGTGTGGGGGTGGGGGATGGTTTCAGGATGACTCAAGTGCATTACTTTTATTGTGTACTTTATTTCTATTATTACATTGTAATATATAATGAAATAATTATACAACTCACCAAAATGTAGAATCAGTGGGAGCCCTGAGCTTGTTTTCCTGCAACTAATCAGTCACATCTAGGGGTGATGGGAGACAGTGACAGATCACAAGGCATAAGATTCTCATTAGCAGCATGTAAACTAGATCCCTTGCATGTACAGTTCTAGAGTTTGCTATGAGAATCTAATGCTGCCACTGATTTGACAGGAGGTGGAGCTCAGGCAGTAATGTGAGCAAGGGGGTGGGGGGTGACTATAAATAGAGATAAAGCTTCCCTCGCTCACCCATCACTCAGCTCCTCCTGTGTGGCCCAGTTACTAAGAGTCCAGGACTGGTACTCACCTGTGACCTGGCATGGGGGAGTGGTTGGGGACCCTTGCTGTAAAGCTTAAAATCTTTATAAAGAGTGTATAATATTTTCTAGCTCACAATTGACTGTTAGCTAGGATTATTTCGTTGTTCTCTCAGCCTACCTTCACAGAGGCTCTCCAACACAGAGCTCCTCAAAACTTTTGACGATACAGATGAATTACCCAGCAATCCTGTTTAAATTCAATTTTTGATTTAAAAAGTCTGCCTTGGGACTAAGACTGCATTTATAAGATCTTTTAGGGTATGTCTGTGCTGCTGGTGCTCAGATCAGACTTTGAGAAGCAAGACTGTGGGACCCTCTGGGTCTGTTTCCTGCTAGTTCAGCCTTCTAGCTGGTGGATCTGCACTAATAGCATGTCCCGACCTTCTCACTATACTCACGGTAGTTCGTTCCTACAGTCAGACTGTCCTTGCATCCAGCAGCATCTTCATCAAATTCCAATTCCTGGGCTGAGCCCAGGACTTGGTGACTCAGACCCTGCTTCTCCAGGTCTAAGGGTTGTCATTGTCAATCACAATGTCACCCTCAATGGCCCATGGTCTAGCCTAGTCACAGGGAGCTGGATGTACAGTAAGACAGGTATATGGAAGAAATCTGGGGCTTTTTGAGGATTTCATTCAAAGCAGGATGCAACGGTTCATATACTTCAAAACTGGAGCCACTTGGGGACCAGGATGATGTATGTTATGATAACCCCCAGAACTAGAATCCATGAATTTCCTTGATCCAGCACTGTGCTCCAACCCTGGGACAGGCTTAAAGTTTGTCCTGACCCAGTTCATCTCATCTGCCTGCCTGCACTTCTGTCAGCTGCCTGTGCCAGGTGTCTCATTCCCCTCCTTCCACCTGTGAAGAAGCTCAAAACCTGCAAGCTCTACTTCCTTCCAAGGCCAGTCTTGCCTTCACATACTCCTTCCCCTTCTTCTCCCTGTACTCTCTCCACTGGCTCTCCCCACACTCCTGCTCCCCAGTCCTGTGCTTTGCTCTCCATCCTGCTGAAGTTCACCTTCATTCCTTCCAGATTGTGCCCTCAATTCCTCTCAGTCCATTTTGTGTTGCATGACTACCATAGACTAGGTAATTCATAAAGAAAATATATTTATAAATTTATTCTCACAGCTCTGAAGTCTGGGAAGTCCAGTGTCAAGGTGCTGGCCTCTGGTGAGGGCCTTCATGCTGTGTCATCCCCAGGCAGAGGACAAGAGAGCAAAAGAGAGCAGGAGATGGCCAAACTTGCTTTTATAACAAGCCCACTCTCATGATAACAAACCTACTCCTGCAATAATGACACTATTCTATTCATGATGGTGAAATCTTCATGGCTTAATCACTTCTTAATGGTCCCACCTCTTAATACCATCACAATGGCCATTAAATTTTAACACAAGTTTTGGAAGTGCTGTGTTTTGATTAATTTTCCCCTCCAAAAAGTATGTTGAAAAGTCTCAATGTAGCAGTATTAATAGGTGGGGCCTTTAAGAGGTGAGTGAGTCATGAGGGCTCTGCCTTCATAAGAATATTAATCCATACATGGATTAATGGACTATCACAGGAATGAGTCTGCTTAAAAGCCAGCATGGCTCTCATTTTCACACCCTTGCCATGTGATGTCTTGAGCCATATTGAGATTCTCCAGAGAGTCCCCACCAGCAAGAAGGCCCTCACCAGATGTGGCCACTCGACCTTGGATTTCCTCAGAGCTGTAAGAAATGAATTTATTTTCTTTATAAATTATCCAGTCTCAGTTATTCAATTTTAGCAACAGAAAACAGAGTAAGGCAGGAGGGGACATTCAAACCACAGCATTCCAACCACAGCCACCCAAACTAATGTTTTTCTGGCATACAAAATGCATTCATTCTATCTTGATGCCCCAAAAGTCTTAACTCATTTCAGCATCAACTCAAAAGTCCAAAGCCCAAAGTCCCATCTGAACTAGAAATAGGGGGGACTCAAGGCATGATTCATCATGAGGCAAATTCCTCTCCAGCTATAACATGGGAAATTAACAAGTTACATGCTTCCAAAATAAAATGCTGGGACACACATAAAGTAGACATTCCCATTCCAAAAGGGCAGAATAGGCAAGAAGAAAGAGATAACTGGTCCCAGGTATTAATAAATCTAAAACCCAACAGAGAGAACAACCCGAAGCTCCAGAATAATCTGCTTTGACTCCATGTCCTGGGCACTCTGGGGCAGGAGTTGGGCTCCCAGGAACTCAGGCATCCTTGCTCCTATGGTTTTGCTGAGTTCAGTCTACCTAGCAGGTCTCATGGGTTGGAGTGTGGCACCAGCAGCTCTCCCAGGTTAATATTTCAAACTGGCAGCTCTACAGTTCTGGGGTATCAGAAGTGACCCTGGCTCCACTAGGCACTGCACAGCCCCTGCAGCAGATCCAACTCCACATTTCAACTCAGCATTGCCCAGATAGAGCTCTCTGTGATGGCTCTGCCTCCATGACAAGTCTTTGCCTGGGCCCCCAGGTTGACTGTGACAGCCTTTAAAATCTAGGTGGAGGTCACTGTGCCCCACAGCCCTTGCATTCTACATGCCTGCAGAATTAACACCATGTAGATGCTGCCAATGTCTACAGCTTGTACCTTTTGGAGCAGTTGATTGAGCCACAACTGGGGCCACTTGAACCACAGCTGGAGCAGCAGAGAATCGCTATACCAGGATGTAAAAACAGAGATCCAAGGTGGTCCTGGACAGGGAGCCCTTACAGGGCATCCAGGCCCATCCCCCAAAATCATTCTGTCCTCTGAGAGCTCTGAATCTGTGATTGAGGGCAGCTTTGAAGATCTCTGAAATGCCTTTGGGGTCATTCTTCCACTGTCTTGATGACCCCTTCCATCTGTACAGGTCTCCTTACCCAACGGTTTGTTGACCACACCCTTGGTTTCCTCATGTGAACACATTTTCATTCTTTAAATGGTCAGGCTGAATATTTAAAAAAATTTTCTGTTCTGCTTTTGTTTTAAATTATAAATTTCATCTTTAAGTCATTTTTTCCCCCTTGGATCTTACTATATGCAGTTAAAAGTAGCTGCACAACTCCTCCAATATTTTGCTTAGAAGTTTCTTCTGCTAGATATTCTAGTCAAACACTCTTAAATTCCACCTTCTATAAATCCCTCGGGCATGGACACAATTTGACCAAGTTCCTTGCCATTTCATAACAAGGATGCTCTTTACTCCAGTGTCCAAAAAGATATCCTGTTTTTCCACCTGAGACCTCATCAGAATGACCTTTACTGTCAGCATTTCTATCAACATTCTGACCATGGCCACTCAAGTAATCTGTAAGAAGTTTCATACTCTCCCTACAGCTCTCCTCTTCTTCTGAGACCTCTCCAGAATTGTCTTACTACTCTGTTTATAGAAATCTAGGCTTTTTCTAGCCTACTCTTCCAAATTTTTTCAACCTTTATCGATTACCCAGTTCCAAAGCTACTTTCACATTTTCAGGTATTTGTTACAATAACAGCCTCAATTCTCAGTACCAACTTTCTATCCATTTTGTGTTTCTATAAACACAGGTTGGGTAATTTATAAAGACAAGAAATGTATGCTCACTGTTCTGAAGACTAGGAAGTCCAATATCAAGATGCTGGCATCTGGTAAGGGCCTTTGTGGTATATCATCCCATGGCAGAAGGTGGAAGGCAAGACAGCACGAGAGAGCAAGAGAGCAAGAGGGGGCCAAACTCACTAGTATAAGCAGCCTACTCTCATGATAACTAACCCACTCCTGCAATAACAACATTTTTCAATTCTTGAGGGTGGTACCCACGTGGCCTCATCACCTCTAAATACTGTCACCCTGGCAATTAAATTTTAACATGAATTTTGGAGGGGACATTCAAACCATAGCACTCTCCAATCCTCTCTTAGCATCTTCTATAAGCCTCTAGTTTGCAATATGCCAAATGCCACTACGGCCCCTTGTTTGAAACATGTTTGTCTCCCTAGTCACTGAGCTTTCTGAAGGCAGCAACAGCCTTTCATCCTGGTCCTCTTTCTGGCTGGACCCTTCCCCTGGCCCTACCCCAACCTAACATGCCTTCCAGGCACCTGTGTCACTCTGGAGGTCGAAGAGCACAGGCACTTACCTGTGTGATGCGTTTTTCCATCTTTGTTTCATTGCCTTCATCAACCTTCTGATCCAGGTAGCCAGAAGCTGCTGTATGATCAAGTAAGAAAATAAAATCTCAGAATTATTAATCACTTCTACTGTGCTGGACACCCTGATAAGAAATTTATGTATGCCCATTTAATTACAACTATTATCGCTATTGGATTTCTATCATCTCCACTTTACAGATGCGGAAATGGAAGCTGAGGGCAGGTAATAGGAATATTGCCTGAGGTTGCACAGCCAGGAAGAGAAGCAGTGGAGCCAGGAGCCCAGCCTCTGTTAACTTCTAGCAAAACGGCTCAAGGAAATATAGGCACAAACCTGATTCTTGGCTGGCTTCTTTCCACTGGTGGAAAGCTGGTGGAAAAGTGGAGGGTCCTGTCTAAAAGAGAGTAGATTAGTTAAATCACTGAGTTTTGTTTCCTCCCACCAAACTATGAGTTGTTATTGCAAGATCCCTGAGTCAATGCCAATCTTTTACCGTCCTGGGAGCTTAAATACACTTGGCAAGCAACACCAAGTTATACGGTTTCCAATACTTAGAGGTATCTGTGAATGCAGATCTTAATGCAGTATATTCTTCTGGGGCTGCATTTTCTGTCTGAAACTGAGAATGTATTTTAGATGATGTGGTTAGCATAGAGCATGCTTCATCTCAGGACTCAGCTAGGATAAAAACAAGGCAGGCACATTGGCCAGTGTCAAGTGTGAAGGCCCAATTTAGGCCCTTACTGTGTTGAAGGCTGCTGGGCAGATGCCAGGACAGACACAGAGGCCAGGCTCCAGTACAGCCTCAGGGGAAGTCCATGCCAGGGTGTACTTGATCTGGTCTCCCACATAACATAAATGATCCTGGAGATGAAGGTCCTGCCAAGAGACCTCCAGGTGACTCCAGGAGTCTTTGAGGCTGTGAATCTTTGCACCATACTTTAAACTAAATTTCTACAGAGCCCCAAATGCCTGTCGCCTCCTCAGCTCCTTTTGTAAAGGAACATTGGTAAACCATGGACCATTAAGAGTAGACAAAGTTTTGCCAAGTCCTTGGTGCTATGTAGGGAAGAGCTTCTCAGAATGTTCTACTGGGTCCCTCTAGCTGCAGAGGAGGGCAAATGAGCACCGGGGGTCTGGAGGGATAGCCCGAAGCAGCCCCATAACTTGCATGGAATGTTTTTGAAGTCTTGTATTTATCTTAATAATTCATGAGAATTTTACATTTCCTTCCATGCTATACCCATATCTATTTTATATTAAATGTAGCATTAATAATTGCCCGAAACCTGAAAAAAATGGTGCCCCAGAAAGCTGCACCCACAGTTCTCCTGTAGCCACCCTGAGGGGACATATGTCCCAGTTCGAAAGCACAGATGTACGGCGTTAATCTCACTGGTTATTCCAGAACCTTCTCTTGCCCACACTTAGAAAAACCACAGGCAGCCAGAGGCTTGAACCTAAGTAACATGCACACAAGTTCAGACCCAACAAAGGGAAGAATTTCCAGGAGATATTTGCGCACAGACTCAAGAAGCCTTTTAGAAAATGAACAAGCAAAATACCTCACCATAAGGCAGGGACTCCTAATATTTTGGATTCTCTGAACACTGATGTAGTGTACAGAGATCCTCCCCAGAAAACAAACAAACAAACAAACAAAAAAAACATTTCTTAGGTCTGTGTGTTCTTTAGAGATTTCCAGAGACCCGAGGCCATCCGTGGACCCCTAAGAATATAAAGATTCCCACTGAGATCTTTTGTGCAAAGGCCCTTTGTAGAGGGCATGCGTTTTCTTTAAATGTTTTGAGCCAGCGTCTAAACATTGAGAAAGTTCACACTGATGTCTGGATCCTGGAGACTTGACAGCTTCGGACCTGCACGATCTCATGGCTCCATGGAGGGGAGGAGCAGCCGCTGCCCCTGCAGCTGGGATTCCTCGTCCCCTCTGCCACACCACCCCCGTTCCTCCTTCACAGAACCCGCCAGCCCCTGTGGCACCTTAACTGGTGACTCTTGTCATGCCATTAGGCCATCGTCGGGGACATCAGGCCCTGACAGTGGACAAGAGCCATCTGGAGTCCATGCTGGTCATCACCTGCCCCAGCTGACCTTCCACCCAGACCTGCTGCTGGGCTGGGGTTGGAGAGAAGCTGGGTCAAAGAAGTGGAAAAATCTGCAGATACATCCAGTACTGGCAGCATTGGTTGTAGGGAAGGAGTTCAATCCCCTATACGGGGAGGATTCTCCCCACTCCACTTGGAATGGAGCCATGAGGGTGAGTGGAGGGTCAGAGCCTGCCGCAGTCATGGGGCAGAAACAGCTTCCCGTACAACATCGGCACCCTCTCTTGGGACGGTGCTGGCTGCAGCAACAAATTAACACAAATAGGCTGACTTAAAACAACAGAAATGTATTCTCTCACAGTTCTGGAGGCCAGCAATCTGAAGTCAAAGTGTCCACAGGGCCATGGCACCCTCTGGAGACTCAAGAGGAGAATCTATCATTTGCCTCCTCCAGCTTCTGGTCTCTCCAGGCATCCATTGGCTTGTGGCTGTGCCACTCCAATCCCTTCTTTATGTCTGTGTTTTCTCTTCTGAAGACTCCTGTCATTGGATTTGAGGCCCACCTAATCAATCCAGGATGATCTCATCTGGAGATCCTTCCCTTAATTATGTCTGAAAAGATGTTTTTTTCCAAATGAAGTCACATTCACAGGTACTGGGGATTAGGACTTGGACGTATCTTTTGGGGGTCACCATTCAACCCACTACCCAGCTTCTTCTCAGCCATTGGCATATGTCATAGGCAACAGCAGCCCCTAATAACAAGGGTCAGTCATGGAGGTGGCTTTGCCAGTGTTCATGGTAAAAAGTGCCCTCCATGAGCAAGACCTGACTGTGGAGGAGAATACAGAACCACATCACAACTTACTTACTCGGATGCCCTTGGTAATGAGCACAACAGCCCAACTGGAGGTCACCAAGAGATCTCTGGGAGGGATGGAGGCACATTAAAGAGGTCCTGGAAGAGTGAGTAGGGGCTGAGCCTGATTTTTTTAAACATACTGTGACCTATTTGCACCCTAAGGCTGCTGAGGCCTGGGGAAGTGCTTAATTTGCACAACTGCACCCTCATGAGAGTTCTGGTCTCATCCGAGTCCACCTGCCCATGCCCCAAATCCACACCAGTGCGTTCCTCTCTCATGCTCTGCCAACCAGCATGGGGTGAGCCATCCAACACCCGCTGAGCACTTCCTGTGTGAAGTTCCCATACTGGGGCACCCCTCTCCCTAGAGCTCTAGATGGAGAGACAGAGAGGCATCCTCCAATCACCTAGGAAAAGTCAGTTAGGTGTGGATGTCAGATGTTTTCATCGTCCTATTCCTGTCCCTTATTTATAAAGTGAGTGGGCTCTGTGCTCACTGTCCCCCAGTGGGATGCAGTAGAAATAAAAGCAGAAACTGCCTGGCTTTGGTCTTCTGAAAGTCTAAGCCCCTGGGGGATTTCAGAGAATCTACTGAGCTGAAAAAATAAAAGGGCTTAGGGGTATGTATTAGCCTGTTATCACACTGCTATAAAGAACTATCTGAAACTGGGTAATTGATGAAGCAAAGAGGTTTAATTGACTCACAGTTCTGCAGACTTCACAGGAAGCATGACTGGGAGGCCTCAAGAAACTTACAATCATGGCAGAAGGGGAAGGGGAAGCAAGCACATCTAACCACAGTGGAGCAGGAGAGAGAGAGAGACAAGGGGAAAGTGCACACACTTTTAAATGATCAGCTCTCATGAGAACTCACTATCACGAGAACAACAAAAGGGGAAGTCCACCCCCCATGATCCAATCACCTCCCACCAGGCCCCTCTCTCAACACTGGGGATTACAATTCAACGTGAGATTTGGATGGGGACACAGAGCCAAACCAGATCAGAGTAGAAACAAAAAATACTGGACCCATAAACAGACGGAACATTTCCCCAGATCAGGCAATTTTCCCCAGGTCAGGGAGATACTCTGTTGGGGTGTGGGGAGGAGACTGGGATAGGTCAGCAAGATCCCAGGAAAGGGGCAGCTGCCTGGTCCTCTTAAGTACTTGAGAAAGGTATCTTCACCCCAAATGGAGCTTTGAACCTCAGGCCTGATTGCCCCGAGGGCCAGCCAATGGACTGTAATGTATATGGACTGATGATGAGGCCCAATGAGGACCAGAGGATCCACTCCTGCCCCCACCCCTCTCAGCAGTTCCACAACCTACATATGTCCCTGAGACCATGATCTGGTCATAGATTAGGGAGAGTGCCTCTGTTTGCTAGGGCTGCCCCGACAATCCACAGACTGTTGACAGGTGGCTTCAACAACAGACTTTTTTTGTAGCAGTTCTAGAGGTCAGAAATCCAAGATCAAGGTGGCACTGGGCTATTTCTGAGGCCTCTCTCCTTGGCTTGTGGACGGCTGTCTTCTGCCTGTGTCTTCACATGGGCTTGTGGATGGCTGTCTTCTGCCTGTGTCTTCACACGGTCTTCCCTCTGTGCCTGTCTGTGTCCTCGTATCCTCATTACAACACTTATCATATGGATTTAGGGCCCACTCTAATGATCTCATGGTAACTGAATTGCATCTTTAGTGGTCCTGTCTCTAAATACCATCACACTCTGAGGTACTGCAAGTTAGAACTTCAACAGAAGAATTTTAGGAGGTCATAGTTCAGCCCTTTACAAAGAGGAACTTTCAGAAAATGATCCAGCTTGGTGAAGAAATTGTTCTTTTGAAATAAAATTTAAGTCAATAAAAAACACAGATTTTTCTTTTGTATACACCTCGGGACGTGGACTGATTCATGTCTACTGGCCCCCACAGGTGCCTTTTCCCCAGGCAGGAAGGTACAGATCCTGGGTGGGGCACAGTTGTGTGTGTGTGTGTGTGTGTTTAAAGAAAATCTCCAGGTGATTCTCAGTCCCTCCCACAGAGGCCCACTGCTGTGCCAAGTGGGCACAGGGCAAATCCCAAATCTCTTGCTCAGTTATAAGACAAATAGTCACTAGGTGCCTTCTATAGGCGAAGCATTGTGCAAGGCACCTGGAAGAAAATTAAAGTATGTGGCCTGCCCTTACCTGTTATGTACAGCAAGGCGTTCGGTCAAAGCAAAGAGAGCCCAAAGGCATTCCCATGCTTGGTGCTCCAGACCTCCTTGTGCACTCACATGCCCGCGCTCTTTACTCTCATCCAGGTTCTTTCTCCGTCCCTAGATCTGCTAAGAAGTGTACTATGGATGGGTCAATTTTTTACAAAGAAGAGTGGGAACTTCCTCCCCTCAAGGGAAATAAGTGTCCTGTGGTGGCAAGGAATAAGGGGAGTGAGGAATAGGACTTTGTGGTAAATGCTTTAAC